AAAAGCACTGAGGTATAAGGATCCATAATCAGCTGTTATTATCACCACAAAGAATCAGATCAGAATTTTTTTTTCACATTTGCCTTCTTTTGAGGGAAAATGCAAGACTTTTAAAAAATTGAATATGGTTTGTTCCCCTAAAACTGCTATCTGAGCTTCTTAAAACATGAAAAAGCAAATTACAACCAAGATAGTAATATCTTACTGGCTTGATAAGAAACTTGGGGTCCAGCAACAACAAAACAAAAAGAACTTCAAAGTCATCAAGATAAATTTTGCTCAAAAAGTTGACAAAATATGGAATCAATAGCTACAATTTTAATTCCAAGTTCTAAGTTAGGCTTTTAGCTGCAAAAATCAAAGCAATGATATGACACTTATTTTCTTCCAACAAGAAGTATCTGCCTGAACAGATTCTTAAAAAGTATGAAGTTAAGGTCCAAAAGAAACATTAGGTTATTAAGTATGAAATGTTTGATTTCCTTAAGTATTAAGTTTGAGAGTTGATATCTCTGACACTTCTGGTTTTATTTTTATTGTGAAGGTACATCCTCAGTCTTTCAAACACATGGTTGGGCTTGTGATTATCTTTCAAATTATTTTTTTACAGAAATTTTTGTGAAACCATGGATAAGTCAAAAATTCATGTTATTTTCGAATATGAGTTCTGTCGTGGAACCAGTGTTGCACAGACAGCTTGAAATATCAACCAAGTGTTTGGGAAGGACATAGCTAATGAACGCTCAGTAAGTCGATGGTTTGAAAAGTTGCATTCTGATGACTGTAATCTTGAAAATGAGCTATGTGGGTGACTAGAGACCAGGTGGATGGATAATGATGAGCTGAAAGCTATAATGGAAGTGAATCCATCTCAACCTACGTGTGAATTAGCAGCAAGGTTTGACATTACTATTCCAACAATATTGGGCCATTTGAAACAAATCGGCAAGATAAAGACGCTGGGTATATGGGTTCCGCATCAATTAAATGAGCCTCAGAAGAGAAATCGTTTCGAAGCTTGCCTTTCTTTGCTGTCACAACATAAAGGTGAACCATTTCTACACCGTACTGTTATGTGTGATGAAAAATGGATTCTTTTTGACAATCATAAGCATTCGGCACAATGGTTGGATAAAGATGAAGTCCAAAACTGAATATTCATCAAAAAAAGCTAATGGTGTCTGTTTGGTGATCCAGCGCTGGTATTATCCACTACAGCTTCGTGAAATGTGGTCAGTCGATTACAGCGGATGTCTACTGCAACCGATGGCAGAAAATGAGGAGGATGCTTGCGATTAAGCAGCCGAGATTGGTCAACAGAGACAGGTCAATCCTCTTGCAAGACAACGCTCGACCACATGTCGCACAAACAGCCCTGCTCAAATTACAGACGCTGGACTTGGAAACTCTCTGTCATTCACCGTATTCACCAGACGTTGCACCAACTGACTACCACTTCTTCCAGGCTTTGGACCGCTTCTTGCAAGGGAAAATATT